ACGTAGCTTAAACCGCTTAACCCAGATGAAACATGGACAATTATTTTATTTCAATTCAGTCTCAAATAGTTTACACGTAACAGCGAACAATCGAAATTAATAGTAAAAATCTATCGTCATATATTTATATATTGACATTTTAAGAATGTATTATGCATGCAATTGTAAATAAAATAGTGCAAAAAATAAATTTTTACTTAAAATCGAGCGTATCTTCGCAGATCCACGGTGCTCTTAAAGGGTTAAGAATTCCCGACTGGTAGACTCGGGTCTTCTCCCCTCGGTCTTTGTAGGATTAGAGTTAGCGATTCCGTATGGGTCGATTGTTATAGAAAGGGTTGAAAGTTTCTCCATGAATTTTTTTCTGTCCACGAAATCGTCTCGGAACGATTTTGCGATATTTAACAAACAGAAATGCAATCTTTTAAACGAAATTGCTCGAATACGCGGTCATTGCTATAACAGTTTGAATGCATGAACGCGTTTGCAGTCGAGTCACGAGCGTCGCATGCATCATCAAAAATCTGTCCCCTCCCTGCGGAACAGTTTGAGCAACTTTCTTCCAAGAAAAACCTTTTTCTTTCTTTCGCGCGTGGTCAGGGGCGAGTACCGATAAATTAACGGGATTAATTATCCGACCTTCGGATTAAACGGAGCCGAGGATACGGCCTGCCATTCTCGGCGATCTTCCTGCCACGGCTCATTACTTTCAATCGCTGCTCTTCAACCTTTCTCTCTTTCCTCCCCGCTCGTAATTTTTGCCATAGCTACCGAGGAGGTTCGAGTGGAATTAAAGAATAAGAAAGAGGGGGTCAGGCTTCGTTTATATGACCTCATCTACTACCTCATCGGGCAAAGAAAGACGAAGATTAGGGATAAGCGAAGAGAGAGCAAGGGACGAGGAGAGAGTAGCTGCGTCGTCGACCTCGCCATCCCTTAAGGATTATAAGGCCAATCCTGCGGCTAATTTGCGAGCTCTCGAATTCTCCCTCCAACCGTTCTGCGACTTCGTCTTAACCGAGCTATCGTTTGCCTTTTAACCGTTTCACGGTTGTCTTCTTTGTCTTTCCGCTCTTGCGCCTCGCTGTCGAGGAAGCAGCCGAAATACGATATATTCGCGGCTAACGTTCCGATTTATGAACGTCTATAGCGCGAATCTAGCGAAATGGGCTTCGAATGTAGAGTGCGATTAATTAAAAAAAATCCTAGAATATAAAACTAAGTTTAGGATCAATCGTTTGTATGAAAAACAATGTTAAACATTACGATTTAGAAGACGATAGATTAGCTCTTTTTTTTTATTGGAAATTGCAAAATAAATGTGCAGAATTCATATAGTCGCGTTTACCAAGCATTCGAACCGCACGCCCATAGGCGTTCAACGCAAGGGCAGGAGCGATCGATTCGAGTACCAAGTACACGCAACGCAGAGAAGATAAAATAAATCTTTCTAAGTAACGTACGGAAAGTTTTGTACGTACTTGGGAATAAATAGGTAGATTCGCGTAGCTCCGTCAGCGACAAGGATACGTATGCACGTAAAATAAATATATTCGACGAACAAAAGGGCATATCGATTACCCAGACTCGTGTCCCAATTCTCCTGATCATTATTTCGACTGCACGGTACGGTAGAGCGTAAGATTAGGACACTTTTACTGTTTCCACTGATCGCTTCCAGCGATCTAACCATCCTGGACAACATTATCTACGACGAAACGTCCGGCAGCTGCATGGAAACAGAATAGTTAGGCATATCCTAACCACGGCTGATAGGAGAACAGCGTAGCTCCGCGTTTTCTCTTTCTCTCGATCTCTCTGTCTTGTTCCCCGTTATTATTCAGGAACTTTGCTGACAGCTCTCCGGATAGGCAGATAAGAACGTCCTCTGAATGCCGAAGCGCGCACAATGCTCCTTTGGAACGACGTGTACCCACGTCTCGTGGTTACTTTCCTACCGTACAATCGCGCCGGGGCCAGAGTTTAGTGCGTATCGTGTCGAACCTTGTCCTGAAATCCCGAATTTTCTTTGGTCAGACAGATTCGTCGGCCGTTTCCTGAGTCCTGAACCATTTACCCGATTTTATCGATTCACCGCTTCGCGACGCTCAAAATGGCACGGCAATTAAAATAATACACACAACGACATCGAGTTTTCTGTTTCTTGCGCTTGGACGTCTCGACGAAACAGCCACGATATCTTTTCTTTAAATTATAAACGCTCGAAGGAATTGGGAGCAGAAATAATAAGAAATAAGTAAGAAATTAGACAATGTAATGATAGCGAAGATGAGAATGGTTTGGACTGTATGGATTCAAAGATATATTCTGAAAAATAATAGATAGAAATAATAGAGAACGATAATTACTTAAATAGATAGAAAATACGAGTAATGACAAATGTGATATTTTCTTTTATGGAAAAGTAGTTTTAAAACGTGTTGATCAGAAACCATTGTGTTTACTATGTTCGAATAAAGAGAACAGAAAAGGAGAAATTACAGAAATTCGTCGAAGTTGCAAATGAAATTTTGACACGTTCAATTATGGCAGGGTTGGTTAGTTCGAATTGAAATAGGCGAACGTTAAGAAACTGAACAGAAAGGGGCAGAGTGTCGGTGAAGCATTTCTCATAACGATTTACTACCGAGGGTGTGGTCTAAATTGGTCCCGTGCCAACTGACAAATTAAGATCAGATAGAAGGATGATCCTCGAGGCTGCTGACTTTTAGATTTTCATAAGGCATCGGCCTGCCACCCTACCCAACTTCTTACGTTTCCCTCTGTCCTTTTCGAGCTCAATTTCCTTATCCGTTCAACCAGGCCGCCTTCTCTTTCTCCACCGTCGGATCCTTCTTCTGGATCTCGTTCCTCGAACACGAATCTCTCCGAGAGAAAGACAAATTATCCTGCCAATTAATCAGCGACCACGTGAACCCTAATCGCGAACCAATATATCGAATATTTCTCTATGAAGAGAGAAATCTAAGGAAGGAAAACTTCGTTGAATTTTTTCAACTCGATGATTGTTGAAGATCTTATTCCAAATTCTCGCCCATCCTTTCAATGATACGCTCGATTCAAGAGGCAAAGCTCGATACCAATAACAATAGAGATAACGGCTTCTGGTTTGCGTTCGTATAGACTAGGATAAGAAATGGTCGTAGCAGTCAAGTCGAAATTCGATGTTTTGCGAATGAACGGCAGTCGACCCGCGCGGATCTTTGCAAGTCACTTTAATTGGACAAATCCGCCTATCCTCATTAAATCCAGCCCGACTTTGGTACGATCTCCTCGACGACATCCGTGAATCTCATAAATGACAAGAACAACCCGCTTCGTTTTCCCGCGGCAATGTCGATTCAGACAGAATCCGAGAGTTTCGATATCTTTGCGGATGTAATATCGCAACGGGAGCGAAACATTACCAAAACTTTAAATAACTATATCATTTTATTTAGCTCCAATGCTTTTGTTAGCCTGCATTTACTTAGCTAAACCTTTCTTTTCTTTTTGATAAATAACAAATGAGGCAAACAATTTATTTTATTTTTTAATAGACTCGGTACTTTGTTTTATCCATTTATTTTCAATGGAAATGCACGGATGTTAGTTTCCAAAAATCTTTGGGTGCCCCATCATTTTGTCCAGCAGCGTAACGAACGTTTCGCACGGTTAATTGTGTAACACATAGATTTTAGACGCGAATACTGATAATTTACCATCCGTGTAACCGGTACGTCCTTCGGCTCCTTTGGGAAAGGACTCATTGACTATTGTGACGCTTGAGTTAGGGTTGACTCGACAACAACGCTACGGCCTTATCTTAGAGCGAGATTTCGACTCGGCAGTCTGCGCGTTTCCAGACTTGGAGACAGTATCACATATTTCCACTGTTACGTATACGCGTATCACATCTATTTAGGTTCTGAATATGCATACGAATATTGTATTCGACTGTGTATCGTATTCAATTCTACGTGAAAATGTAGACGAGATCCAGCGACGATATCGGTGCGCGAAACTGTACCAGAGTTCGATCGAAAAGTGAACAAAATCTTGATTAGACGAGATAGGAAAATACGACGTCCATCAGTCTTTGATCTGAGAAGGATAATAAAAGCTTAGATGAAACTGACGACTTAAACATCAGTATGAGGACAGTATGGCGGCGTTTGGAATTTAAAAAACCGCCTTCAGTGATTGGTAAAAGAGTGGTTCAACATTTTAGCGACAAAAATAAATTTAAATAAATGCAAATTACTAAAATAAATCGGTTACTGAAATTTACGACTCACTTTTTCGAAAATTTACGATTCGTAAAGTTTATTTGTTTAAATATACTGAAATATAATTTATGTACTACATATTTGGATTCGAATATTTGGTATTTGAATATTTTATGCAGTGACTACGTACCTGAATATGCGTAATTCTTAAATAGTATGATGTGGACTATCAATCGAGTTCTTCAAATTCTAAATTTTTTATTTTTGTGTGGGATAAAATACTACTTACATTTTTCAACTGTACGTAGGTCATTAACAACAATATTTTTATGAATTCAGATAAAGAGGATAACAAAATCGATAATTGTAACTTGGATGATGAGAATGATGGTAGTAATTATTTTTTAATCAATTTTTAAAAAATATGTGAATAAGCACATTGGGAGGAGATTCTTCTAAAACTGTTATTTCCATAACATAATCTTTGTTCAAAATTTCTCTTAATTACAGAACTCTTCTTCGTTATAGATTCGAAAATGAAAAAGGTTCCAAGGCTTATTTAATTTTTCACGAAGGAAGAAAATAATTAACAAAAGGAACACAAAGATTGGTATGTGAGAAATAGGAAGGAAAGGTAATAGAGGCACTGTGAGTCGTGACATATAGTTTTTATTCGACGTTATTCTCATATGTACATTCATCGAGGTCCATAATAATTATATTAATCGTTATGCAATAATTACAATAAAACTGCAACCCACGAGCGTGGTTACAAGTCAACGATATTAAGGTATAACAGGTCGATTAACGATGTTTACTTCTTCTCCTTCGTTCTCCATTCGTGTTGCGGTACATGGTCGTAATGCATTCTGGCTTCATGGTTGCTTCTAATTTACGTTACTTGAGGGAACGAGCTAGTCTGCATGATACGGATGCGGTTGCGGCGATTCGCCCTCGAACAGCGCCATTTTCAAGCGCTTGCACTTGGCCCGGCGATTCTTGAACCAGAATTGCACGTTTTTTGGCTCCAATCGAGGAAACTTCTGTCGGTAGGGCATCCGATTCAGCTCCTCTGTATATTTCAGAATTAGCTGTGAATTAAGCAGACAGAATCTTCTAAGCAACTTAACTCTTTCTATTTATATCATATTTTGCATACTTCCTCAAAGTACATTCGCGTGTATAGACATGCCTTTCCAAGTTACTTTCCACACACTTTCCATATATTTGCGCGTATATTTACATTAAAAATATAGTTCAAAGCTTTTGAAACATTTTTATACATTTTATATCCACTCTATTTTCGCGTGCTTTTATTAAATTTCACAATTGAAGATACAGTACGTAAACGATATTTGCTATCAATCGTATAAAAAAGGGTAATTGTAGCTTTGTGACCTCTGTTATAATAAAGAATAATTGAAATTGATTAACACGGAAATTCCTGTTTGGGCTCCGTGTCGGAATATTTATTTTTCCAAAGGCGAAATATGATTGGATCGTATAATATTGAAATTTTAATTCCGGAAAGTGAACATTTTTTAGTCGCAGCGTACATATCATAGAAAACTACAAAATTAAAGCGAACGAATTATTATCTACGACGATAAATATTCAATTACCAAAAAGAAATAAATATTGAACCAGGTAAAATCGGTGTGAAATAAAGGTTTTCGAAACACGCAATATTTTCCATCGAACGCGTTACAAATTACTCGTATTGCTACTCGGCCGATATTAATGCGCGACAGTGGCAAATTAACGAGTCGATAGTTAAAAGTTTGAGCGTTCAACTTACCGCGTGACTGGGGTGAGTATTGTTGGTGAACCAAGCCTCGAGCCTCGGCACTTCCGTCACCGGATCGATGAATGTCCGGTTTCTCTTCCTCCTCTCGTCTAGCATGCTGGTGGAACAACCGGCAGGCCCGCGTGGCGGCAAGTAAGGTGACATATACATAATTCCGTGACCGAACATCGGACTGGGTACCAAAGAGAATCCAGGGGGCAGAGGACCGGTCGGTCTGGCCTCCTCGTCCTCTGAACCAGAGGATACTCTAGCGTCCTCTTGCTTCACCGACGATGGCGTAGATGGCGGTGGTTGCTGATCCTCTGGTCTGGTCGTCAAGGATAATGGTCCAACCGGTGGACTTCCGGGCGGGCAGGGCGAGGGAGAGGTAGACTGAAATACAGATTCAAAAATTTCCAAATTAACGCGTTAAACTATCCAAATTTATTTCCCTCGACATCTCAACTTGAGAATTGATTTATGGGTGACGTAACAGTCAGAGAGTCAATAAAAAAATCAGTTCCATTTGAACAACAGAATAGGAGTGGCTAGAGTAGCAAAAGTACAACATTCTAGGAAGTACATTAGGTGTAAAACCTTTGTTTCTCAGAAGAACGATGGTAACGATCACCACTCGTCGATGTTTTCACGCGTACCTGATGCCTGGAATCCTCTTCCTCGTCCGTGCAATCCTCGCTGACGATGCTAGCGCCTCTGGGGCTGAGCCCAGGAGGGCTGTAGCCGTTGACGCCCCTGTTCTCAGCCCTCTTTTGAGCGGCTCTGGCGTTTTTGAACCAGTAGACGACATTGTTGACGTCCAAGGGTTTCCTGCCACGGCGGGACTCCAACGCGTTCAATTCCGAAACGTAGTGTTGTATCTGTTGCCGCGACGGGTGTTGATTCTCCCCGAACCACCGTTGAAGACGCGGTAGCTCCAGTTCGGGATCGAAACTTGTCCTCATCCTAGTTTTATGCGAGTATTGGAGCAACGCCGGATGCGGGGGGCCAATGGCGCTGCCTGCAGGCCCGATCGTGCTACCCCCCTCCGGCTGAGGACTCTGCGTGTGATGATGATGGTGGTGATTCGAGGAAGGCACGATCGGGTTCAGGCCCAAACCCAACTGTTGCTGCTGCAGCCACGACTCGAAGTTACGCTTGGTCTCCTCCGACAACTCGTTTCCACCTCTACATAGAGATAACAATGTCATCTGAAACGGAAACAATACATTGCGCTTGAGTACCAGGTGAATTATTCTGCAACGAGCGTCGGTGTGATTCATCATCCTTAGCCCTTAGTTCCACGATACGTTCATCGATTGGGATTGGAGAAGGACATACATCGCGTAATTATATCGATAATAACGTCGACAATTAGGCTAGATAACAATGCTATTTACAACAACAAACAAAGATTTATTCTTACTTTGTATCGCAACAAATGCTTCTTTATTCTAAGAAGAATTTATTCTCAAAGATAAAGAAAATAAATTTAAAGAGGCTTCATGAATTTCAACGAATTTAAAAAACTGAGTAACAAAGTGTAGGTTATATATATATTCCAGTTGTTTAGAAATAAAATGTGTTGTTGTCAGGTATACAGCATCTAAAGGAATATACAACAGATCCTATAAGTAAATCTTAGATACGCATAAAATAAAAGAAAAAAATACTGAATCGTTTATTTTAGAAAATGTCACAGATACTTAACGACTAGTAAGAAACATCTACAAATTTTTATACATCAATATAATCAATAGTTTCTTGGCAAATGGGGTGTGAAAGATGTACGTCAAAAAAAAAATTGCCGGTCAACAGCTGGAACAAAAATACAAAGAAAATCTTGTTAAGTGTGAGTTTACTCGTACACAGTACTAGAATAAATTTGGAAGATACAGAAGTCACAAAGTAGTGTATCGTTAACGATCTTCGCTAGAATCTTTTTAAATACTAGGCGCTTCTTCGAGAAAAAAAAAATGGGATTACATATCTTAATTATGTTCTTGACTTTGTATCTCTAATCAGTGTAAATAGTGTAATAAACCTCGGTAAACCTCCTTCGTTTCATGATCGTCGTTATAATATGGTGACGAAGTTCTCAACATTCTCAATCTCATTATCCACGTTTCTCATCGGTTTTTACAATATATCTTGTATCTAGACGCATAAATATTCGAGTGAAATTTACATTTAGGGAATACTCTAACGAATAACGAATAGACGAATAGATGCATCCTACGAGCAAAGTTCATTTCATATTTTTGATTGATATTTTCACGAGGAATTCAGCCCTCTGCGACGGGTCGTGCCACGAATAACGAGACGCTCGATATAATCGGAACTCTTGTTTCGTATAATAACGCGGTGGGCGAGCATTAAGATATCGTTGCGATACGTTCGTCTCCGAGGCATTAAAGCGCCCAGATTACGGAAAAGTTTAGACTCGTAGGAAATAGTACGTGGTTTAAGAAACGCGTGCCTTATCTGGACGATGATTTACAAGTACAAACATCTCCGCCCGCGAGGATCAAGCTGCTCGTCGCCACTTTAATAACGCGGTAATCCGTCGCGTATCCGTGGCACCGTGGTAGCGTCAGAAACGACGCAGAACAATTGTTATCCGCCAGGCCTGTCAACCGTTTAAATTCTCATCCGGCGAATTTTACAACCCGGGCACTTAATCATTCAGTCAGCCGCGCGAGACGCTAGGCGGCTGACAGGGCCACGAGATTTCAGAAATCGGTTGATAAACATGTAAACACCGTCGAAAAGACGAGGACGAAACGGGAAAGAAAGAAACGGCCCATCCCGGCTTATCTGACGACACAGCGCTGTAATTCGTGGCCTGATTTGCGCCTATTTATTATTTCCCGATGTCGTAGCAGGCATCAGCTGATCATCCGAGGGGTAGCAGTAAATCAATCGTCGTGGCGAGAGCTGATCAAACACGCTACAACGAATTTCGCGGCGTCGTCGGCACGACGTTCTAGCTCAGACTTCTGCGTAACGAGGAGATTCTTCGCAGATTAGAAACCGGGGACGCGAACTAGGAAAAACAGGAAGAACGTTAGTTCGAGGTTCTGACCTTGTTCCGAGGTCACTGGGTCTTTGAAAGCTTAATTTTTAATTCACGCCGTTCGTAGCATTTATGACGATTTCTGCAGTTTGGAGGCTTCGATTATTTAGCGCTATTTATCCTTTTTTTTTGTAGAGATTAGTGTCGTAATTATGTGGTCGTTAGCGAGTTCTCTATCTTGTATTTGTTTTGGAATACATCGTGTCTTGAGAATAAAAATTAGAAAATGTAACTCAAGATGTAGCATTGAGCCGTTCGTCTCGAAGAAAGGGAAACGTAGATTGTTTTCAGGCGATTTAGTTGCCACGAACATAAATAGTTAGTTACTTATTTCAAATTACAAATAAAAATTAAATTTCTCTAGTACATTTACTTTGAGTAAATGTTTGATGTTAGTTTAGAACAGAAAACTTCCGAACGCGATGGAAATTAGATGGAAGCTGATGGAATTGTCCCCGTTACAAAAGTCAGGAGGACAGTACACTCTGTGGAGAGGCAAAAACGAGTGGTAATCGTGTAAATTCGTCGAGACTTGGTAAATCCACCCGTTGTGTACCGTTGGCTGTAGGAACGGCAGTCTTCGTCGAATGATCGACAGATTAAGTCTCACGTACCTACACGAGCCGGCGGTTCTTCATCACAGCCGTTCGCTATTAGCCGACGGGCCGAAACTCGAACAGGAAACGTCTGTCAGGGAAAATTGGTAATCATAGACCACCGCGAGCGGCATTAAAGTTCGGGGATGGGCAAGTATAGCAGAATCTTCAAAGAGAGTGCACTTAGATAATGCCCGCCCGTAGTGGGGGTGGAACACCCTCCCGCCCTTCTCCTTCTTCCGATATCGAGGGGGCTTTTGATGAAGGCTGCGAATTTGGTTGAGTAAAGGGTAATCCTATCATACGCTATGAGATCTTCATTGCCGTCGAAAGGGCACGCCTGGCGCTGCCCTCGTATGGAAACCGTACGATGATGCTTAAATCTTTCGAGAAACGAAACCCGAACGGATCTTCCTTCTGGATGATCTCCACTTCTTGACGACTGACAATCACAAAAAATTTTCAACGATTTCGCGGATCGTTCAGAACTGGGTTTCGGCGGAGTACTTTTTCGTGGCGGTGGTTCTCGAATTTTGCCTTCTCGCGGACGCTCTTGACACAAATAAAATATGGGGGGGAAATCAGAGGGTTGGTAGAGGATAAAATAAGCAAAGCTATCGTATGAATATACACTTTCGCCCATCAAACATCAGATACATCGGATGTTGTGAAATAAATCGAAATCAATTCTTCGCGTTGCAGAAAAAATACAATATATATTTCAATATTTTACTGAATTCTCTATTAGAACCTCCAGTGCATGTGTACACTTTTTGAATAATTGCCTTTTCTTTCAGTTTTGTTATCAGCCGCCCCAAAACCAGCTTTTTGTTTCACCGTGGGCCGCGTCGTTGTTAACAATAGTGTTTTAATTATCGAAGAATATTCTAAACCGTAAAAAGGAGGGCGAAAAAACGTCATCGCGGTGACTCGAAACCGAGAAAACATTTATTTAAGACGAAGATCAGCGACTTGCGAGCAAGAGTCTACCAAAGATTACCGCAGTGGTTTTCAAAGGTGGAACAAGCGCCAGCGGGAGGACTTCTTAATGAGATTAGGTGCCCCGACGACAAACACTCTCTGGTTAGATTTACATTTTATACATTTTTAAGAGGTCTTACAGCGGGAGTCCTTTCCTCCGCTTGATCCCGAATCATCCTTAAACTTCTCGCTTTAACAGGTTACTCGATCTTAATCTTCGTTTTAAATATCGATTCTCTGCTGATGCACCCATTTTGTAGAACCATTTTTTTGGTCAGTTTAATCGCATGAAAAATATTTAGAGAAAAGAAGACTAGAGATGTATAATTGTAAGGAAGTTCGAAATACAATCGTACTGTCAAATAAAATATACATCGAACTATTCTTTGTTCTACGCCACATTGTGACACATTCGACCGTGGAACAAATGATACGGTGTGAAACAATTAAAAGATCATTAAACTTCATTTTGTTGACCATGCACCAATAAAAGAAGCAGACGAAAATAACGTTGGCTATTTATATAAATATTTCGGAGACGAAAGCTGTCGACGGTTGGATAGAATGTTCCAAAAAAATAATAAAATTAAACGTTCAAACTATTAAGATGTTGATGCAAATTTGGGGACGCAATATTTACTCTTCGACGAATGGTGACAAAATTCAGTTCTAGTTTCATTGAATCGAGGTAACCTAGTGTCAACGCCGCTCAGCTACATTAAAATGTAGCAGAGATAATGTATTCGTGTCATCGCACGATACTCCAGATTGCCGGATGAATTTACAACTCCTCAACGAAATGCCATGCTCTAGAAAAGTGCTAATGAAACTTACCTCGTCTAGGGGGCAACCAGCTGATACTAGAAGCGCGTGACTGTGCAGTAGTAGCAGTCTTAACAATTTGTTTCTAACTTCGGCTGCCGGACTAGGCGGAGGCGGTCTCGATCTGTACACCTCGATCTTCAAAGTCGCAACCGACGTCAGTTCGGCCAAAATGTCGCCCACTGTTAACAGAGGCCCTTCCGCGACCTTCTCCATCGGCAAGGGCTTCCAGTTTCGTATCACGATGCTTCCTCTGGCGCTTGGTATCAGGTCGCTCGAATAACCAAGACGCACCAACGCCTCGCCCACTAAATCCTGCGAAAAAACAAATATTAATAATCTCCTCGCGACCGAAAGATACGAAAGAATTAATTTTTCTCGATAAAAATAGAAATTTAAGACGTAAATTCGAATTTAATTTAAAAATATATTTACTTGGAAAGGCATGGCCACGGGGATGATAACGTACGAATCCGTTTCTACTTGAGGTCTCCGCCAATTCTCACGGGAGTTGCTCACATGACTCTCTACGATGTTGTGAATCGTTTCGACTACACAATGCACAGGTAGATTCTTTCCTGTAACAAAAGTATGCACACATAAAGCTACAAGTTCCGTTTAATAATTGCCTCCTGACGCTTCCGAAAATATTTTAACGAATTTGAAATAAATTGTCGTCGGCGTCTCGGTCTATTTCAAAGAATTTTAGTAATTAATAATTTACGAAGTTTATTCGCGGTAGGCAACGTCGACGAAAACGGATACAAAGGGCAAAACAAGATGGCGTTGCGTATCCTAAGACCACTCGAAGAATCAAGCTAGTTCCGGCTTTGCAGAATTCGACTGACAATAGGCGCGCGCTTTCGCGTTTCGGGATTTGAATTCGAGGGTCCAGATGATTCGCGGAGCTGAAGATCGTCGAGAGAAGTCTAACTCCCGTGCTAAGCATATGCAGATCCACTCGTCTATCCCGAGACAATAAGAGCCGGGCGATGGCACAATAGCTGCGATCCTTGTGTAACCCTGACTTAAGTCCCGGAGTCTATCCCACTCCAGGTCATAATCCCAGACTTCTGCGAAACCGAGGAAATGGAGAACGAGAGGAAGCAACGAAAGAAGGGAAAGGAGGGTATAAACTTGGTTTCGCCGATTCTGTTCGTGGAACGGGCGAAATACTTATTAGCGAAAAATCTCCGCGTCCGCCAATCGAAGAAGAAACGCTATCTGATGGTTTAAATCTCTCTGTAAATCGTACGTTTCGTGTTTGTACGGGGTACACGTGCCTTTGCAGCTTACATCGTGCTTCTGTGTGTTACGCGTTGATATCGAACGCTCTCAGCCAAGCACTGACAAGTCGCCTTACTAAAATTAATTTTAGACGGAAGAAATTTTTATTTTTAACCACGGTTACTATTCGCGTTTATATAAATTACAAATTTATTAAATACCTCGATAATAACGATAATAGGGGGGGGGGGCCCAAAACTATCCATAAAATTCACTAAGGAAAGTTATTTACTTTGTGCATCATTAATTCGAGCATAAATATTCAACGAATATAAATTTCGAAAACTGATGTAAAATTCACGCGATAGAGAGCCAACGCGTTATTACACGACGATAATTCTCGTGGAGTATAATGACAGTCTTCCACATTGCGTCCGTACATATAAATGAAATATAAACTTTAAATATGTGTTACGCGTTGGTTGGCCCATTTAATACATATTATTCCGAAATAGGGGAAAGCACGAATAGCGTTAAATAAAATTACTACGAACGTTCCAAACTGAACGGTGGATAGGTTTTCGAATAATTGAAAGCGCTGTAATAATTTCCATTCTTCGTTGACGCGTGAAACGATTTACACGTTATATCATAAACTGTTAAAGGACGTTATCGATGCCCGGTGATGTAAGGTGCTAAGTCTCCTAGGAAGATGACCAACAAAGGATTTACTGCCGGTGGCGCGATATTAGGTATTAATGCCCTAAACTTCCATCTAATACGCTGGTCACCATAGGATCGACCCCCAGGTTGCATAAGACAGGTCGTACGTAGCGAGCCCGAAGGCTGACCAGTGGCCACCTTAATCCAGAGACGTATAGTTTTCATTAAGGTGCCCCGTCCTGGCGTTGTCTCTGTACCGGGATCAGCTGGTTCAAGGTAGGCTTTTACTCCGCAGATTTGGCCACAGGAGACCGTATTATGCGGTCTGTTTATTAGCGACGTTCCTTGATGCGCAAAGATCCCTCGCCTAACCCCGCTCTGTATGCTCTGCTATTTCTTTCGCCAACGTTCAACGCCTCAAACTATTTATTTCATCGTTACCAAACCATTTTAACCCTCCTACGTTCCTCGATTCAACGTTTGAGGTCTTCAAAAATGTCCCAAATATGGGGTAATTAGTTCTTTCGATTTTGCAATTTAGCTTTACAGTACTTCTCATATCCCTTGTTTCAAAAAAGTTTTATGTCGTGTTAAAATGTTTTTTACAAATTTTGTTTTTGTACTCTTTTTAATCTATTAATCTAATTCATGTATCCTTTTTATTTCTCGTTCTTTTGTTACAACATCGTAGTTTTGGTTTACATGGATCCATCATCCGAAAGATTGATTATTGCATATTTCAACTTTGTCTTCCTGTTAGGAATAATCGTTCTACCGAATCACGAGGAACGAATATAAAAAAACTGCTGATTAATAGTTACGTGTATTAATATTGGTATCGTGTGCTGTAAATCACGCTGTTAACGAACCTTTAGACGAAGATTTCTGCCTCGACTTTGGTACATTTAAAAAGAGAGGACGAGAAGAAAAGTGTCAACCACTCGTCCGCGAAATCTTTAATCTCCACAACCGCAAAGACATTTCTCATTTCTGGTGCAGGCCCTATCGGTCGTCTGGTTATCTCCCCGTTTACGCTGTGAAGGAAGCACGACGGAAGCGTCAGGACGGTTCCTCTTTGACAGTTCTCGCTGCAAGATAAGATTCATCCGAAGGACAACCCTTGAAGAAACGAGACCGTTGCTTCCCTTGATAGATTTCTTTCGTTTCGCGAGGACCGTTACATTTTCAGATCATTAAACGAACAGCTCCTCGCATTCGTAATTATTTTTCAACGATAAGCAAAATCTTTAAAATAACTAAATAGGTATCGTTTCGTTTCCATTGTATTTGTAACAAATTTTGGCCACTATTTACATTTAATAAAAACCATTATATAACGAAAGTCTTCTGTAGGGAAAAGAATACTTACATAAATTTAATAAAGAAATAGATTCCCATCGCGAGGAACATTGTTTTAGAAATTTAGTTGCTGGACGTTGAATTAAGCTGTTACGTGGCGGGGAATTTCCTTTAAATACACTTCGCACGGTTAACGAAGGCCTCGCTCGATAAATTAACGGACTGGTTCCTGCACCCATTGCCAAGTCAGCGGTGCAGATACAAGATAAAAAGTTAGAACATATTTTTCGACACCGCGAGATCACCCTCTTCGTGCTGTCGTGATAATGGGTTCTTTAGTCGTGCACGGGGCTGGCGCGGAAAGAGACGAAAAATCTTTACCGAATAACTTCGTTCCGCGTCTTCGATTCTCCCTTTTGGACGATAATTACCCACAAGATTGGCGAAAGCCTCTCCGAAGCATCCACCGGAAATTCCCACCGCCATTTTAGATTTATCCACATTAATCTTTTTCTACCCTTCGTTTAATAATTTAACCAGATTTCTATACAACACGATGTAGTTCTTATAAAATTTCCAAATCTATTCCCAAATATGGTATTTAAATATTTTGGTGAGTTGAGAAAATTGTTATTCCAATAAAACAATTCGATCGAATTCTAAAATCAGATTTAGCGAGACAAAAAAATTTATAAAGTTTATCCATAATTGATTGAATAATAAATGAACGTATCTAGGAAACACTGCTGGCGATTCGTGCACAATAATTTATTCTTATTCAATTTTCACGAGATCAGGAAACGTCTAGACCGGAATATTCCCTTAAATGCGAATAAATACATCGTGCCTGGAAACTATGTTTAATCCGAAATCGCGTGCAGCAGCGTCGCGTGGATTAAAATAATACATCTGTTCGGATTTTCTGCGAGCACGAGCGGCTGGGTAATGTATGCTCGATCTCGGGGACAAAAATTTACACCTAATCTAACGTTCGACTTCCGGAAGAGGAACGCTATGCAGATAAGTCGTAGCACGACCGGGACTTTGATCCTAAGGTTTCCCCTTCGTCTTGGTGACTCGGTAATCCAAGACGATTCCGCTTAATCTCTCGAAATCGAATCAAGCTATGCTCCGAAGCCTCGTACTAAAGCACAAAACTTGTTAGAATTTCTCTTTTCCAAACTGTCTTTATAAAATTCACCCCAGAAACACTGCAATTGTTCGTAGAGTATCCAAACTCATCGTATATTCGAATACAGAGAAATTTGACGATCGATCCAGTACTGCAAACAGGTGTTTACAGTTACTTATGCTAGATGATATTATTATCTACCGTGAATTCTTAATTTGCGCGACTCGATTGCCGGGAGAAACAGTCTTCTCTTCGCCGTAAATCAATGCGTATTTGTTCAACTGATAATTTCGCTCTATCTGTTATTTTCCAAAAATTGTAAGTCATCAGCATACTCGCGCTCCCGAAGTCTACGTTCGAACGAATCTGTTATTCGCTCGTTTAATAATTGCGAACAATAGTTTAGCTTCGTTCGAAGGTTTCGAAATGCCTCGTAGCGGTTTAAAAAATGAACAAGGTCGCTTACTTCCTTCGTGGATATCTTTAGGAGTTTGAAAGGAAACAGCTTGTACGACTCGTTACATGGATCGCCCTGTACATCGTCCCTTTACACGCATACTAAAAAACTATACTTCAGTTAGTTACTTATTACTAGGTGCCCTGCAATAAGAACTATCATCTTGGTCCTCTACTCCGATGCGCTTAGTCCGCTCAGTTTAGCCTAAAAACTTGGCTGTCGTATTCCATACTGTATCAAGGAACAGTTACCTAAATATTTTATATTTATTTTGTTTATTCAATACCTTCGTTGCTCAAACTTTGAGAAATATGCAAATACAGGGGGTAAAAGTTCAACTAAACTGTTTTTTTAAAAAACTAACCTCAAATCAATTTATCTGCGATTCGTTCTAGAAAATCTAAATTATACGAGTTATAACGAATCGTACAAATAACTGTTAGAGGTTCTTTTTTATATATGAAAAAGAGCGAGGCGAATTTGAAAAATATTTGTAAAAATTTAATAGCGTTTAACGTTAAAATATTTGAAGGGGTTAATGGATAAGCGTTTAACAATTATAATGCGTAGAAGTTACATAGCGATAAATCACGTGACCGTTGGCGCGTGGTGGAAATCACAATCCCTGGAAGTCAACAGCTCTTGGAACTTAGCCTAAGCGCGTGGACCAGAAGGAAAGTGTGGGTGGTTTCGGTATCTGAGGCTGATCCGGCGGATGCCGGCCTTTACAGATAAACGACCAACTCTTTCGAACTCTTTATCTGCTACACCCGTCCTCTCTTTTTCTCTCTCTTTTCCCT